TGCTTCAGTGAATGGGCCATTTATGTCCTTGAACAGATCTTCTGTTCAGTCAGAATGTAATTTGTCCCGAGGTGCTTCGAGAGTTCGATTAATTCAGGGCCCTGGGCAGGGAAGAGCACAGAACCCCATTAGCAGGACCGGCACTGATGAGCTGCGCGCTGGGTTACCTGAAACAGGAGCCTCTGCAAGAGCTTTAACGTGGTTATCCTGATGTAATTAAGATGGGAGCAGATGCACGCTTTTACCCTCCTAGAATATCGAGCAATCACCTCGAGCATCACAGGTGACAGGGTACTTCTCATGAGGCATTCTTGCAAGGACATGGTGGGGTCCTGAAAAACAGCCAGCCCTCATGGAGCTTTGCTTATCCCTGTGTGCACTAGTGACGAGGCACATTTATGTATTTGAAACTTTTCTATACCATCCCTTCACAGGCATCTCAGGATGGCTTGCAACAGATTAATAAGATAGAATAAAAATAGGAATACGAGTAGCAGTTGCACAGCATCCGACGTTAAATATAAAACCACCAATTACAACAGGTTAACGATTAAAATATTGGGAGAATAAAAAGGGTTTTGCCTGATGCTGAAAGGAAAGAAGTGCCAGGCGAGCCTCTCCGGGAAGTGTGTTCCACAGTCAGGGTGCCGCTGCAGAGAAGGCCCTCCTCTGGGTAGTCACCCTCCTGGTCTCTTTCAAGGATGGCTCCCAGAGGAGGGCCTCTGGCTCAAATATCAAGGCGCAGGAGGGCACATGGGCAGAGGGTGCTGTCACACTCACATCCTGCTTCAGGAACAGTGTTCTGGATGGAATGTTCCCTTGGTCTGATGCTTCTTACAAGCTTACGTGTTGCTTGATGGTAGAACTAGCTTGCTAAATGGCACTTGAGGGCTGGTGGCTATAGGTGAGTCATTGATATTTTCATATTGTGCCCTACCTGCCTGCCTGAAGGGAGTGTAAAATGAGGGGATGCCAAGGAATTCCTCCCATTCAAGGAATCTTTGAGGGAAGTTGCAAAGGCTTGTCCCTTTCTGCACCGTCATGGCATCCAATGGATTCCATGATTCTCTCATTTCCATTCTATATCTTTCAACATCTCTCTCTTCCATTCTATATCTCTTCTATAGCTCTCAAATATCTATATTTCCATTCTCTGGGTGGTGCAGAACATGATAAAAATAATTTCAAAACTGCAACCTGCCAGGGTTTCAAACAGCTTGAAGCAGTTAGAAACAATTCACAACCGAAGTCCCAGCACATGTCAGAAGGAGCTGTGATTAGGCAAGGCTCTTCCCCTTCCTTCCATGAACATGTCAGATACCAAAGGCCAAAAAACACATCATTTCAAAGCTGTATCTGGCAGCTATGTGATTAGTATTAGTAGTATTCTAGATCTGTGACAGGATGCTAGCATGAGGGGTAGGGGACTTTTAAGAGTCACACTGTGGACTTCATACCTACCCTGCAGAAAAAGAAAAAATCTCTGCAGTCACATTCCAGTGGTGCATGAGGTCAAGGGAAAAAGAGGAGGAACCAAAGTAGAAAAAATAGCAATAAGTTTTAAAGTTTTTATTTTGTTTATTGATTGATTGATCGATTTATATCCTGCCTTTTTCCTCAAAGGGCTCAAGGCAGCTTACATCATTCTCCTCCTCCATCTTACCCCCACAACAACAGCCCTGTGAGGTAGGTTGGGCTGAGAGTCTTTGGCTGGCCCAAAGTCACCCGTGGCTGAGCGGGGACTAGAACCCAGATCCTCTGAGTCCCAGCCCCAGGCTCTTAACCGCTACACCACATTGGCTCTTACTCGTAGCAACTAAGCATCCGGAGAGGCATTTCAGCCATTTGGAATGGACAGGAACTGCAGAGAAATCAGTGCAAAATTCAAGAAACCCTCGAATTATCAATATTTTGGACCAGAGGAAGGGACTTTACCATCTGGAAAACACTTGAGGGTGAGAAAGGGATGCCAGGCAGGAATTAATTTCCTGCTTTGAAAAGGAAAAGCTGCATAAAACAGTTGGTATCCTTGGAAATACTAGCTTTGGGCAGCACACACACACACACACACACACACACACACACACAGTTAATGTGCTGCCCTTGTCAGGACTGGACACATGTGCAGTGTGCTAGAATTTCCATCTGCCAATCCCCACAGGCTACAAGAGACAAGATGGTGCATATGGGGGAAGCAGCAGTTTCTCCGACAGAACATTATGGAAATAGTTGGCAGGCTTTGTGGAAGCCAGAGAGACTGACATTCCTAATGGACTTAGGGAGAAAAAATCAGTGCAATGCCAGTCTGGATTTGTTTTGTTGAGCTGCGAGAAGCACATTGGCCTTGTGAGGAAATCATTGGTCTGTTTGATTTCTGTTTAGCCAGTTCCCTAAGGACAATTGCGAAGGGTGGGGTAGATTTCCTCGATAAGGCTAGTCAGACACTGTGGCAAGCTCTGTAATTTCTGGCATGCTTGAATTGGAGAGGGACATTACTTCATTGATGGAGCAGGTGCTTATTTTACAGTGCTTGCTTTAAAAAAGCAGCAGCAACGACAAAACAGGCAGACACAAATTTCATCTAATCAAGTCTTCCTCACTATGGTGAGATGTACTGCATTTCTGTTTCAGTTATAATTATCTCTGTTTCTAGATAAATTATCATGTTTTCAGCTGTGGGGCAGTATAGAAATGACATAAATGATAACACAATAATTTCTATTTCTAAATCATGATGATTTCTTAATTTGTGCTTATACCTATAAATTAGCATAGGTACATTAATACAAATCTATGCCCTCTTTTCTCTGCTTTTTTGGTGATATATTTCCTCTTTTCTAGCCATTCACAAGTGGTCATCCTTCTTTAGAGAGAGACGGCCAATTAGACGAGAAAGTGCTGGACAAGATGGACCAATGGTTGAGCTGAGCATAAGGCAGGTTTTTAGCTTATAGGCTTTATATGTTATATATAGACAGTTTTACAGGGGCTCAGGCACAGGGGAAGTGGAACTTCACCCAGACCCAGAAATCCATGGCTAACAACCTATCAGTATTGTGAAAAGAGAGGCTCAATTGCAGGTCATGCTTAAGAACATTTATGGAATGTAATATCCCTGTTGTCATGGTTGGTCTTCTCCCCAGGCAGATCGGGATAGCCTGGCCAAAAAACCTTTAAAGCTGATCAGCTAGGCTGGCTTTGTGTATCCCAGACATCAATTACAAAGAAAATAAGCCAAATTATAAGACTGACTATTAGGGAAATGCAGCTTAATGATATGAATTTGGTTCCAAATGGTGTACCTCTCCTCCCATACAAACCAAAAAGAGCTAACTCCACCTTCGAAGTGGATCGTGCTGTTTGGCCAATTGCTTGGACTGTCTGATACTTCTCAGTTGTTCCACCCTCTTTACCTGACACTGTATGATCAAGCTAAAAATGTTAGGACCACCTGCTGACATGTCAGTTTTGCACTATACTTTCCTACAGAACTTAAAACCACCTGGTTCTTAGCAACTGCCCGGCTTAACTCTGAGACCACTGCCCTTGGAAATTCAGCTGCTAATTCTCATCCCTCCTCTTCTTCTCAATCAAAATCTTGTAACCCTCTCTTATAGGAGTAGACCCAATCCCAACAGTTTCATCTATATTATTTATTTGTTACATTTCTATACTGCCCAATAGCTGAAGCTGTCTGGGCAGTTCACAACATATATTATACATCAGCCTTCCCCAGACTGGTAGCCTTCAGAGGCATTTGGACCACAACTCCCAGAATTCCCTTCCAATGGGGCCATTGACTGGGAATTCTTGATGTTGCAGTCCAAATATGTCTGGAAGTCACAAGATTGAGGAAAGCTGTTATAGACCCATTGCCCAGATTAGAGGTGCAACAAATCTCTGCAGAATCCATCTCTCTAGTGTTTGCAGACTTCTTGTGCTCAGCTCTGAGCTGAGCCTAGAGGCAACCTGCTTTCACTTCATGTGCTGCACAAACATTACATGAAATAGGAATGCTGCTTGTGCAGAATTAATACAGGGCTCAATTCCTGGAGAGCATTTCACGAATGCTGCCTACACTTGTCATGAATTGACACTCATGGGCACAACAAAGTGGATCGGGGTCCAGAGAGCTGACCATAGGGAATCCAACAGATTCCCACCACCAAAGCAGAGTCATCACATGGAATCCCAGGCCCAGATTTTGGGAGATGAACTGCAGCCAAATCAGAACCAGACCAGAACAAGCAGCATTCTGAACAAGTCATTTCTAACTTAGGGCATTCTCTAGAGCAGAGTGTGTATGCGTATGCTATTAGGGCATTATATGTTCTCTCAAGAACTACCAATCACAGAGTCCCTCGCAGACAGACAAGCAGGAGAAACAGCTGGTGGGCGGGACAATGTACTCTGAGTGCGAATTTGTATTGGGCTTCCCCAAATGATGCTTGGGCTCCGCTATTACAAATGGATCTTATTGATCAAGTTGGGTGAGAATCATGCTCTGGTTTAAAGGCTGAATTTTCTGGCTTCTGCTTTGCAAATAGATCGAGCTGCACAAATCAGGTGCCCAGCACAGATTTTGAAGGCCACGGTGCAAGACAGCCTCAGTGCATTTCTTCCTCAGTGAGTTTACCTTCTCAACAGTGTTGCCACCAGTTATGATCTCTCCTCCTCCTCCGCCCCATCACCATCACTGCTACCACCTGCTTACTTGGGAGGCAGGCAGGAAGGAAGCCATGCAGGCATGTCTGCTTCCCATCACCAGCACCATGTTTGGGTCAGGAGTCTCAGTGGTGAGAAGGAAGAGCCAGTCCAGGAGATTTTTCTCAGTGCATCTTTGTTGGATGTTGGTCTCTGGCAGGCGTCTGACCATGCCTACCTTGACACCAGGCTTGCAGAAGACTTCACCTTGGCTCCTTGCAACAGCTTGTTGTTTTCCTAAATTGTGATGATTGTCTTCTTGTGGCAGTCCCGTATTTTGGGTCTTCTCTATTCCTGTCAGTTCATAGTTTGAAATTACTTTTTATGCTATAATCTTATGTGACCTTACCTGAGAGCAAGGTAATTGAGCTCAATGAGGCTCACTTTAGAGTAGACAGGCATAGAATTATGCTGTTAGCAGACCTAATGATAACAATTCCAGTACAATGACATTGATAAGTTACTTCATTTTATTTGCTTTCCCTATATTTCATTGTTGAAACAAAGAGAAGGGTTTATTGTCATAGTGACAGATAGCCCTTGAAATACCCACCTGGCCAATGTTTAGGAGCTCAAGCCATTCTCTTAACCAAATTTATAGGGCCACTTCTGAAATCTTGCTGGTAGTTTTCTCTTGCTTGCATCTTCAAGTCATAAAAATTAGTGACCCAGATTTATTTTACAGCCTTCCATATGGAAGAACAACACCTACCTATGTACTAACAGGTTTTTTTTTTAAAAAAAAGGCATGCCAGCAAGCAGCATTAATCCTATAGATTTAAAATGCCTATCAATGCTTTAAATAGCAGTTCATTGAGGCTTATCACAGTGCGTCTTTTACCTGAACATAGTTTGCATGCCAACATCAAAGTGCAATAAAAGTGAAGCATCTCTGCCTTTCCCAGCCTGGCTGAAGAGATGGGACTTCCAATCCAAACACATCCGGAAAAAACTAGCTCAGAGAAGGCCAAACTACTTGCTATATTTTACACTGGCTGTAAAGGACTTTTCTTCTGTACTGCCCATTCTGTCTGTGCAGTTGAGTGAAATCAGCTCCTGACTTGGGTGTGTTCTCCACACTTACCAAAATATTCTAGAGTTTTGGTTTCTTAGTGAAATATTTACCCATTTTTTCCACACAAAGTATCTAAGGCAACTAACAATTAAAACGTATCAAAACTGTGTAACAGCTAGCTAGCTTGCTAGCTTGCTTGCTTGCTTACTTGCTTTGCTTAAACTGCTTATGTACTGCTTAACACATGATCTCTAAGCAGTTTGCATAAGAAATACATAAGATACAATATAAAGCCAATGCAGAAACAACTGAAAATAATAAAAACAGAGCAGTTGAATTATACATCAGGGAAAGCTTTAATAAGAGGGGCATCTTCAAGAAATGTGTAAAAGTTGCCACAGCTTCTGCCTTTCAAATAACACATGGAAAAATATTTCAAGGGGTGGGTGCCACCACCAAGAAGTCCTGCTTATGAGCCATTGGTTGATGTCACTGCCTTGGTTGTGGGATGACCAACAAGATATCCTTGGGATTGATTTGTACACAGGGGAAAACTGTTCACTGCACATCTTGGTTGTTAAGGACAATGAATGGCAATAGCTACACCTTGGATATGGCTTGGTAGCTCATGGGCAGCTAGTAGCGTTCTTTTAATACAGGAGTGACCTATGCATGGCCAGGTGCTCCACTGAGCCTCTTGGCTGCTACTTTTAATAAATAAATAAATAAATAAAATACTTTCAAACCACATGAAAGACAGGCTCACACAGTGCATAAAAAGCAACCTAATTCTGGTGGATTGCAGCATAATAAATATCCATAAAACTAAACTAAAATACTCTGCACCAGTGATGCAAAGGAATAAAAAAAGGAACCACTGAAAAATTGTTCAAACAGGAGTTCCAGGAGAATCTCATTGACAAAAGCCATGCAGGAGTTTACACCACTTATCTAAATGTATGCCGTGATGGGGGCAAGCCTTGTTGTTCAGCAGAGTGTTTCCAATCTTTAGGTCACTGCAGTAAATCTTAACTATTTAATTTTAATTAAAACATTTCTGTGCCATCCTTTGCAACAAGCCTCAGGACGGCTTACAAAAGATAAAAATAGGAATAGAAAATGCAATTAAAACATTCAATAATAGCACAGCATAAACAACAGTTCATAACTAAAGAAAAAAGGAAAGAAAGAAAGGAGAAAAGAAAATGTGACTGTGTAAGAGGATGATGATGATGGATATTAATTATTAGTATGGTGGTTAAATAAAATGTCCAGTCCCTCATGCCCACTTGCTGAACTATAAATGGCAGAGGAATACATGTCCTATGGGTACATGCGCCTGCCGATGTGAAGGCTATTACTCCTTGTTCCTTCTAGCAGCATGGAATGCTAGTGGAAAGCCTTTGCAAACCTTCCTACATAGGAGCGTCTTTAGGAGAGTCTGCACACTAGGGGTAATTGTGGGCAGCCCTTGCATGTATGTCCCTACACATGTATAGGTGTAGCCCTCACTGGTGAAGGTGAATGATGAGGTTACTGATGTGTCCTCTACCACTGTTCACTCCTACCTCTGGTTCTAATCTAATACTATGATATATTCTGTGCACAGAGTGAACCAATACGATCCTGGCAAACAGATGAGGAAGAAATGGAGGTAGAGACAGATTTTATTTTCCTGGGCTCCAAAATCACCGCAGACAGGGACTGCAGCCAAGAAATTAAAAGACGCTTGCTCCTGGGGAGGAAAGCTATGGCAAATCTAGTTGTTGTTGTTGTAAGTCGTGAAGTCGTGTCCAACCCACTGCAACTCCATGGACAACATTCCTCCAGGCCTTCCTGTCCTACATCATCCGCAGGAGTCCACTCAAGCTCACATTGACTGCGTCCGTGACCCCATCCAGCCACCTCATCTTCTGCCGTCCCCTTCTTCTTTTGCCATCTTTTGTTCCCAGCATTAGACTCTTCTACAGGAAGTCCTTCCTTCTCCTTAGGTGGCCAAAGTATTTGAGTTTCATCTCCAGTATCTGGCCTTTTAAAGAGCAGCCAGGGTTGATCTCCTCTAGGACTGACCGGTTTGATCACCTTGCTGTCCAAGAGACTTGCAGGAGTCTTCTCCAGCACCACAATTCAAAGACCTCAATTCTTCCATGCTTTTTAGTCTGCTGTCTTTCTAGACAGCAGACTAAAAGGCAGAGACATCACCCTGCCGACAAAAGTGCGTATAGTCAAGGCTATGGTTTTCCCAGCTGCAATGTGTGGCTGTGAAAGTTGGAGCATAAAGAAGGCTGAGCACTGAAAAACTGAGGACTTTGAATTATAAACTGTATAAATATACAGTTAAAATCAATTGACATTAAAATATTGATCAAATAAAAAGGTCTTGACCTGGTGCCAAAAAGCATATAATGATGGTGCCAGGCGGACCTCTCTAGGGAGTGCATTCCATAGTCGGGGCACCACCGCAGAGAAGGAACATAATTTCTTTGCATTACAAAATTGCTTTTCTCCCCGCACATAAAGCAAACCATTTACTGCAAGAACTCACGCATCACGTGGCTTGACTGGGAAGGTGGTGCAGTGTTCTTGTGGTTGCTGAACTCTTCTGCATCTCCTTTCTGGGGATTGGAATGCACATTGGATGCCTAACGTTGGGCCATAGTTTTGTTTTCTGTATTCATTTGCATCGTCTTGTTAGGATTTGGACATGTGAAGGCTCTGCAGTGTGATAGTTCTGGTGATACCCTCACTCCTCTGGGTGCTTTATGCTTTCCCAGTGTTTTCAGAGCCACTTTCACTTTTCAGAATGAATGTGTGCATTTATTTGAATGTTTCGAATGAATGATGTTTGTGTTGAAAGAATGATGCCATATGCTCCAATCCTCCTATTTCAGCCAGCTGTCTGGGATCCATATTCTAACCCAAAGGTCCCCCAGCATTAAAGGTGCTCACCCCATGCCCCAAGTTTATTGCTGAGGCTTACTGCCAAAATTCATCGGTTCCTTACCAAATTTTGGCAGCATGAACATACCAAAATTAATTTTAAAACAAGGTGTATGCTTTGTCCTGCTCCTTTGAAAAACACCTAGCCTGATGGTTCTGAAGAACTTGAAATCTTCCACAATGTTTTGTGCCTCCCTGGTTGTCCCCAATAAAGGAATTTCCAACTGTGATTTTTGGTGATTTTCCCCATGGGGCTATATGTCTACCTTTCCCTTTAGTTTTCCAGAATGCATGCAAAATGGATTTTATACATATCCACCCACACGGATACTGACTGAGCTTGTGGCGGTTCATTCCTCAAGTGATCTCTGTCTAAGCATTTGCAGGTGATTCACTCAAGCCTGCCCATTTCAAGAGCATCAGACAAAGCCAGTATATATTCTCCTGTCAAGCATCCTCTCCAGGCTGATGTATAACAGCCACTTCTTCCACCAAGGTTACTTCAAAGGTGTCTGCTCTGATTTCAAATTGAGCTCATCTCCCTTCAAGCTGGAGGCGAGGAAATCAATAGGCAACTTACACTGAATATCGCAGGGTAAGTGAGCACTGTAAACACCCGGCTTGTTCTGCCTGTACGTTCTTGTATGGTTAGGCTCTTACACTGCCAGACAGATGACACTTATCTTTGTCCTACAACAACTGTCTTGTTGTCCTCCAGACATGTTAGATTGCAACTCCCAGCATGCAAGCCCCACCCAGAGATTGAGGGATACCAAGCTCTAGAACACTGTTCCTCAACCTGGTTACCTCCAGATGTGTTAGAATAGAATTCCAGTATATGGAAGTTTCAAGGCTGGGAAGGCTGTTCCAAAGTTTCCTGCACTACAGAGCTATCCATGTAGCTTGGACATGTTACTGTTCAGTGGATTATGGATGCTAATGAAATGCTCCATGTCTGGGAAAAACAGGGAGGTGTGGACGACCCACAGGCAGCTGGGTAGCCCATGTGTGAGAAGAGGACTGGTGTAAATCCTTATATTCTCATGCTACAGTCTTATATTCTCTCCAGTCTGGGGTTCCCAGTGTGCTCATTTGCAAAGCAGCACCAATGGCTTAGGAGAGTACCAATGACATCTTCCATTCTGATTCCCTAACATTGTGGAGATCATTATCTTACGCATTTTGTGCATCTATTCTCATGTTGCTCTTCCTCAGTTCTGCTTTACTTATAAATATAAAGCCTGGATTTAAAGCAACCTTTGTCCCAGGGGTTCCCAAATTAGTGTCCCTGCACTAATTTCTAGATAAGACCTATACACCTCCATCTTCCAAGTTCTCTAAGGTCCAGTCAGCATGATCAATGGTCAGAGATGATGGAAGCTGGAGTTCAACAACATCTGGCAACCCCAGGTTGGGAACCAGTTCACTCCTCTAAGCTAGAGTTTCTCTAACTGTATATGCCAAGTGTCATGCATGACTGTGTGCTGAACAATCCCATGCAGCAAATGTGAGACGGAAACAGGGAAAACTACTATCCACTTGTATGAAATCCTTGTGTGTATCTGGAGCCCATTGGCCTATATATTATATTATATTATATTATATTTAATATTGTATTGCATTTATATATTTTATTTATTTATTTATTTATTTATTAAAACATTTTTATGCCTCCCCATTCGCCGAAGCCTCGGGGCAGCTTACAACAATAAATAAAAGTAATTTTTAATTGTAATTAAATTGTAAATATAAACATTAAAAATCCAAAAATACAATATAAAATTGTATTATACTACCTCTTTATCAGCAAGGGAACCAAAGTAGCTCTCATTTTTCATTTTTTAATTAAAATATCTTAACGAAACAAGAGAGAGGACAAAAATGTATCAACATAAATTTAAATATATCCATTTTAATGGATGCACATGAAATGTGGTTTACACGGTCCCCCTCCTGTCCCTCTGATCCTCACAATAACCCTGTGAAGCCGGCAAGGGCAAGAGTTGGTGGTGTCCCTCTTCCAAGCATGTGACTGGTGGTGATGGCCACCAATTTCGATGGCTTTACAGGGCGAATGGGTCTATTCATGGAGGAAAAGGCCATCAGTGCTTCCTCACCTTGCTGGCTATGCGCTACCCCCTTTACCAGAGGAGGAAGGGCTGCATGCACCCTGGGCAGCACAGCTGCAGGAGATCTTGCAACCATCCTGTTTGGGGGATCCTGTGGGCTTGTTGCCATGTGTTTGGAGTGCTGGACTAGATGGGCCTTTGTTCTGATCCAGCAAAGTTTTTCTTAAGCTCTTACGTGCTGTTTTCTTTGTGCCGCACATGCTGTGGAACAAGACAGCCAGTTGCACAATTGGGGTTTTGCAAGCATTCCCAGACACCCCCTCAGCTTGGCTTGGCTCCCAAGCCAGGGAAAAGTCCAATGAACAGAAGAGAGATGGATTCTGGGAAGGATCATTACAACCCTAACCCTTCATGGATCCTATTTGCCTACCTCCACTCTGCCGTTATCACCAAGGGCATTGGCTCCTAGCCTTCTTTATCATCCTTGATACCCTTTGCATACTGGCCAAGCAGAGGTCCAGTCTGCTGCTGCTGCTTCACTCTATTACAATTGTCCGAGCCAGAGCAAGGAGCCAGTGAAGAAGTAAGATGCAGTTGTGAAAGCAAGACCTGCAGGGGGCCCTTTGCCTGGGGACTCCTACTGGAGTGCACTTCCAGCCCTGGCATTTACTAAGATTCTCCAATATTGTTCAAAATATAACGTACATATATTAAATAGCAGCATTCTGTTAAATGAACTACCTGGCCAAAAGGTTTTCAGCAAATTTCTCTTGTTATCAGTGGCTTCATTAAGAAATATGATGCCATTGGTGTTTCCATCAAAGAAGCAAGACACCTCGATTTCATTTTGTGCTATTATCAGGATTTTTTTAAGCAAGCCATTTTGGTTAACCATGATGTCCTTGGCATTTTTGACCAAACATGCTACTGTATTTTATTTCCACAGCAATACGTTTGCTTTCTGCTAGCGTTCGCTCATGTCTAATCAAGCAAGAAGTTAACCTTGAATGCAAACACACACACAAAATCTATAAACTAAAAGCTTGAACTAATTTGATTCCCCCTCTTGAAGGTCATGGAATTTAAATAGAAGGGAGCAATACCGCCAGCAAAATAATAAAAAAGTATCTTTTCCATTATTCTACTTACAAGTCCTAAATCTTTGACAAAAGACAGTTTATACATTAACTCAGTATAGCTAACTGCTTTATACATGTATCTATATATCTATATCTGTATACTCACATACTTATATTTAAATGCCTAGAAAAGGAACCAGGAAAAAGCTTTGGTGTCCTGGCCAACAACCACATTTAACACAACCTGATTAAGTCTTCTCTTGCACTTTCATGTTTGGAGCTCCTGGCACTAAGATCCAGCACCTTCGGTTCTGCGTGAGCAGCTGGCCATGTGGCAGGTTTCCAAACTGTTGCCTGAAGCATCATCCAAGGCAGTGCTCCCACAGTGTCCAAAAAAAGGACACATGAAGACCCCAGTTGGCATAATATTTGCCTATGTAAACGTCAATATGTAGGCACAGATTGACAAATAATAATCTCTCAGCTATCTGTTGATGACGGCTAGTTAGCTGGAAACTTCAAGGCTCATGATGCTCCCTTTGTTATAGTACATTGACCTGAAGCCAGACTTGAACTGGAGACCTCTTCAGCTAGATAGAATAGATGTCTAATGGCTATTCCCTCTTCTGAGCTCTGCCCCAGCCAGATGATTCCCAGCAACCATGCCGGTTTGCCCCCAGCCCTTGTGGTGCTGCTGCCAAATGCCAGGTTGGTACGGAGTAAGTGCTCTCTCATCCATGGTTAACTGTGGATGAGGGTGCCAACCTGGCCTGCATTACTGAGACCTGGGTGGGAGCAAAGCGGGGAGCTGCCCTCTTCCAATCGTGCACTTCTGGGTGTTCAGTACTGCGCCAACATCACCTGGTGGGCCAGGGAGGCGTGGTGGCCATCATCCATAGGGATTTTCTCCCCCATATGAAGCTCCCTGTCCACTCAAGCACAGGTCTTGAGCATTTGTACCTTGTGCGAGGCAATCGATTAGGGATTAGGGATTCTGCTAGTGTACACCTTACTACCCAGCAGGCAACCTGCCTGAGCTGATGGAGGTCATCTTGGGCTTGGTGTTGAGGACTCCCAGGATGATGGTCCTGAGGGATCTCAATATCCATGCCAAGGCAGCCTTGTCTGGGGCAGCTCAGGACTTCATGGCTGCCCTGACAACTATGGGACTGTCACTAGCCCAGTGCATATAAAAGGTCACACTCCGGACCTGGTCTTCTCAACTGGGCAGGAAGATGGTGATCTGTTAGGAGGGGGGTTGTCATCAGCCCCTTTGTCATGGTCAGATCACTTCCTCCCAAGGTTTGGACTGTAGGCGCTCTTTTCCCTTTGTAGTGGGGGGACTCATTAGGTTTGTCCACCCCCAGGGTCTAATGAATGCAGAAGGTTTCCAGAGGGCTCTGGGCGAGTTTCCTGCTGGCATGATTGGCATTCCTATCAAAGTCCAGGTCACCCTGAGGAATTTGGAGATGACCCAGGTGGTTGACACGATCACTTCCAGGCACTCGCTACCATGTCCCCAAGTCCTTGGTATCCACCAGAGCTGTGAGAAGTGAAGCAAGAGGGAAGACAGCTAAAGCTCAGGTGGAAGAAAACTTAGAATGAGTTTGATTGAACACAGCTTAGCACCCGTTATTGGGCCTATTCCACAGTGGTGAAGGTGACAAAGTGGTCCTTCTTTGCCACCTCCATTGCATCTTCAGAATGTCATCCAGCAGAGATCTTCTTATGGTTCAGGGCCTTTCACACTCTGGCCCAAGATACCACTGAACCCTCAGAGACCTACTGTGACAAGTTTGTGCCACACTTTGGGGATAAAGTCTCTCAGATGCATGTTGAGTTGGACACCAAAGTTACCCCAATGCCATTGGCAGAGGTGCCCAGTGCACCATCTGGTCCCATCTTACTGGAGTTTCACCTATTGAAACCCAAGGATGGGGACAAGGTACTGGGTCATTTCTGTGCACTCCTTGTTCGCTCGACTCTTGCCCATCTTGGCTAATTGAGAGATCAAAGGAGGGGACGTGCCCCTGGATCCAGGAGATGGTGAATGCCTCCTTGAGAGAGGGAGTGGTGCCTGCCTTCTAAAGACAGTGGTAGTTACACCACTTCTCAAAAAGCCACATGTGAATCCAGATGACATAAAAAATTATTGAGCAATAGCCAATTCCCATCCTGGGCAAAGTGCTCAAGCAAGTTGTGGTTGGACAGCTCCAAGCATTCTCTGAGAAAATGGATTATCTAGATCCATTTCAATCAGGCTTTAGGCCTAGGTTTGGCATGGAAACTGCCTTGGTCAGCCTGTGGGACGACCTTTGCCAGGAGAGAGACAGGGCAAATGTGACCCTTTTGATTCTCCTGGACCTCTTGGTGGCTTTTGATACCATTGACCATTGTATCCTTCTGAAGATGTTGGCTGGACTGAGAGTTGGGGCACCACTTTGTGGTGGCTCTGTTCCTACCTGGATGACCATCTCCAGATGGTGGAGCTGGGGGACTGACGCTCTGCCCCATGGCATTTTTGTCATGGAGTCCCACAGGGCTCCATTCTGTCTCCTATGCTATTTAACATCTACATGAAACTGCTGCGAAGTGTCATCCAGAGGTTGGGCTGAGGCATCACCATTACGCTCAGTTCTCCCTCTCATTTTCATCCAATCTAGGTGAGGCAGTGACTGTTCTGAATCAGCGCCTTGACTCAGTAATGGACTGGATGAGGGCCAGTAAACTGAAGCTCAGCCCAGACTAGGCAGAGGTACAGGTGGTCCACAAAGAAGCCCAAGGCGAGGTATCTCAGGGGGATCCTTGGCCAGTTCCCCGGGGAACTGAGAGTGCTTGAGAACAGAGGGGGCAGTTTTACTCTCCATAGTAACAGCTGGCAGCAAAGGGCACTGCTGCACCAGGCTTTGTGCCCTCAGATGGGGGTGTTTGCGGGCGCCAGGTCCTCACACATGGTCATCTGGGGAGTCCTAGCAGGTCAGACTGGGGGCCCTAGGAGGCAGCATTTGGCTCAGGGGCCTGAACTGAAATAAACTGCCCAGAAAATTGTGGCTATAGGGAGGAATAGGAATGAAATAAATAATAATTGTATTTATTTATTTATTTATTAAACCATTTCTATGCCGCCCCATTCGCCGAAGCCTCGGGGCGGCTCACAACATGAATACAAAAATAACAATACAAAAATAACAGTATAAAATAATAACTTTCCCAGTGCCAAATCAAGGTAATGCAGAGGCTAATCCTGCATCATTCCCCATTGCAGTCTATCAGGCTCTTTAGCTTACCGAGTTAATCTGCACCCACAAGTAGAGAAGGAGTGAGTGTGTATCAGGGTGCGTTAATTTTATCTCAAGAAGCATCTGCAACGTTCATTTTGGCATATGCTCCGTGTGTGTGGCAGATGGGTTTGTGTGCTCAGTGCGAGGATTTTATTACCCACGCCAATGGATCATCTGCGCTTAATGATACTAAACTTTTGACTTTGGTATTTTGGAGGCAGTAAATTTCACAGGTTAATTATTCTTTTTCCCTAACATTGGATGGCATTAATTTTTGAAATATTCTAAGGGAAAAGCCATTCCTCTAAGTCTGTGCCAGAAGTGGCTGACCTGCAGCATGAGAGGTAGCTTGCAAAGCAATTTTATATGTCACTTTCCAGAGCATGCTGTAAAATCTAGGCAATGCTCATCATTCAGGATGGATAAATGAGACAGATCTTAAGAGGTGCATCGAATCAGTCTGGGGTGGACTTGACCCTTGTAGCTAAGTCAGTTGCTAGTGTACAGTAACATTTCATTTTAGCTACAATATTTTTCATAGACAGCACAATGAACATAATACTGTAGTGAGTTCCAAAAATGTACTGACCAAAAAGACAAAAAGTCCCAGCCCTCAAGGAGCTTACAACTGGAATTTTGTAGTGACTAAAGCTGGAATGTCAGGTAAGATTAATTATGGGAAATGCTGAAAGGAGTATGGATCTATGTGACCTATTATTAATTCCAACTATACGTTTCTCTCCACTTCTCATTTTTCAAATTGTAATCTCAGTTTACTCCAAGCTTTCACTTTTATTCACATAAGAGCAGGGCTTTTCTTGTCATAGAACGCACCGGAACGGCGTTCCGGCACCTTTTTTCCCAATGGATTTTTCGCAGTGATTTTGAACCGCCTGTCGGCATAGCAGGTCAGCAGCAAACATCATTCACACAGTGCCTGTGGGCTGCTTTTGTGTCCCCGCAGCCCAGCTTGGGACACTGCTTCGGCTTGGGATTGGCGTGTGTGGTCGCGCGCTGAGTGCTTACTGCCAGCCGCGATGTGAGTTCTGGCACTTTTTTTTTTTTTAACCAAAAAAGCACTGCATAAGAGTATGCATAAAAATTCAAACCCATCTTCTCATGTCTTCTCATGCATGCATCTTTGTATGTAATTTTGCCCAATATGCACCCATTTTGCAAGCAGATATTCCAAAGCAATGTTAAATGTTATTTTATCATCTCTTTCCCGTCTATGTGCACTTTCCCTAGTATATGCATTGTTATCTGCATTTTTTAGTAGGGGATATCACTGAAGTTGGAAAGATAACTAAATTTTGGTTTGCCCATTAGCTCAAAACAGTGAAATTAGGTCAGCCTCCAGAGGACTCCAGACCCTTCCATTCCACCTTCCATGTCAAAAGAGCATACTTGATTGGGCTCTTTAATTCCCAATTAAGCCTCTGAGGAGTCCCCCCCCCCCCAGTTTTCCAGTCCTGATGAAAACCTTGGGGTTCCCTTGTGGTGGTCCTCAGCTGATACATCCCTTTTGCATTTGGATAGGACCATTTTGGTCCCGTCAGGACCAGCATTCAGAAAACTGAGAGTCATAGCAGTGTGACATAGCAGTGAGAGTGTTGGCCTGGGACTTGGGAGATCCAGGTTCTAGTCCCCATTTGGCCTGGAAGCTCGCAGGGTGATTGTGGACCAGCCACTGACTTAGCCTATCCTACCTCACAGGGTTGCTTTGAAGATAAATCAGACAGCAGAAGGGGGATTATGAAAGCTGTCTTGGTGGGATATAAATATAGGATTGTATCACTTATTCGCCCTGCTATTAACAGAAACCAAAAGTAGACAGTTATTTAGAGCCTGAAGATTTTTTAAAATGGCTTTCAAGTTTATTATATGCAGTGGAACACCCACATGGTCTGTGGCAGAAATAAATTGAAATGGTGTGACAGATTGCTATTCAAAGCTAAAATGAAGTAATCTGCCAACATGGAAGGGGGGAAAATGCTTGGATAATTTTTTATTAAAATCTGCCTGCAAGCTTTCAGAGCTGGGGGCCCTTTCTGATTACATTTTTAGACTGGCCATCTGGACTTCCCCAGGAGATACTTTTTCAGACTGTTTGAGAGAATATATTCTGTCTCCTTCTCATCTCTTTTCACTCTTTGCCCTTCAAAATTGGGAACCTCAGCTGCAAAATGTGGTATCAGAGGGAGGTCATGCAGGGTGGATGCTCTTACAGGGGGGCTGAAGGAGAACAGGCTGTGAGTTAATGAAATAGTTTGTTTCATATTTCCCCATTTCTGTACTGCCCAATAGGCGAAGCTTTCTGAACAGTTCACAAAAGAAGACAGACGCATAAAACAGAATAGCATAATAAAAAATAATATAAAATGCATTAAAAATTTAAATGGGATAGAACTAAAGTTAAATGAACAAAAACAAAGTAAAAACCAGCAGCAACATACTATGCCCACCTAAAGCTGAAAAATAGGCAGAACTTGGGGATGATGGGCATTCAGA